TTCTTTCCCCCCCCCTTCCCCCCTGCTTTCCCCCCCCCCCCCCCCAATCCCCTCTCCCTCCACAACTCTTCTCCCTCCGTAGTTCTTCCTCGGCAATCAGGTACAGTTTGCCTTGCGATGCTGTCTCTCACCTCTTCCTTTTTTTTGTTGGTTTGTTTTTTTTTTTTTTTAACGTAAAACGTAACTTTGTGTGTCCGTGATGCTGCTCTGTCCTTTGTTGCTGTGGGAAGATGTGATCTGTGAGCGCTGCTCGGCAGAGCCTGGTACAGAGGAGTGCCTGAGCTGGGCGGGCCACCCGAAAAAAAGACTGCATTGGGCGGAAAAAAGGGAGAAATTCAATGGAAAAAAGCAGGATTTGACAAAAATGGAGAGGTTTTTCTCTCCGTGGCTCCTGCCTCGGATACGTTGGGGGTGTTGATGGTAACCAGTGGCAAATCGCGGCACCCTTCGGCGGGGAGCGCTGAGATACTGATGGGCTCGTGCCCGGGACTGCCCTCCTTCGGGGAACGGCCAGCCCGGATGAAATCACGGGGGGTACAACGCCTGCACGAGGGCTGTACCAGGCTCTGGTGGGTTTGGATGTCACGCAGTCCCTGGGGAATGAGAATCGCGAGCCCACCCCTTTAATCCCGTAGGCAGCGTTAACTAAACCCTCATCCCTGCTACACCCACCGAGTAACTCCTAACGGGAGCAAGGTTCTCAAAACCTGCATGTATCCCCACTACTGTCGTGACCCGAGATGAGCGGTGCAGCGCGCGTCAGTGCCAGCCGGTTCGGGGGCCAGAGCTCTTCTTTTAAGGGGACTGGAGCATCGTGTGTCGTTACGATGTGCCCACTGCCCCCGCTCAAACAGAAAAGCCTATTTTTTCACGTGAAATGATGGTGCCCTGCCAAAAACATGCCCAAAAAGAAACAAACTTGGATGTCCGAAGCGGACGGGTCCAAGAAAGCTCTGGCTTTCATTTAGATGGTGATTATAGACAAATTTTCAACAGCAACTGAAAAATAACGTAAATGTGGCAGTGGAAATGAGAATTGACTTGTCCCTGGTTTTCCCTGGTGCAGAACTAGCTCTTGAAGGACACCTGACAGTGAGCCCGGAGAGAGGGAAGGCAGCTCCCCTGCCCTCCTCCCTGCCCGCGGGCACCACGGCCGTGCCGAGCGCAGCTGCGGCAGCTCTTTCACCGCGGCACTGGGACAAGCGTGTTTCGGTGGGACCGCCGAGCAGGGAGACCCACCAGCACACGGTCCAGGGTCCCATGTCCTCGTGGGAAGGAGGGTCGGCGATGCTGTTACCTCCTGCCCCTCTGCCTGCCGTGACCCATCTCAGTGTGGCTTCGCACTCTCCGTTTTCATTTAATCTCTTGGGGTTTGCGTTCTCATCCACCCAGGGAAAATGTTGCTACTTTTTTTTTCTTTTTCTTCTTTTTTTTAATCATTCTGAAGAAGGTCTTGCTTTCAGAGGCTGGTTCCTCTATCTTCTCATCACAGCAGGTGCTCTGTAGACCTGGATGCAGAGCTGCTACATCCGAGCAAGGCTCCCGGTGCCCCGCACCGGCTCTGCCGCCTGCCCCGTGCAGAGGGTAACCAGGAGCCTGGGCTTGGCTATCCGGGAGATTTAGGGACCTTTGAAAAACAGACACATGCTTCTGATTCAGGGTGCACTTGTTTGAAATTGCAGGTGTTTAAAATCACTAATGAACATTGCAATCACTAATCAACATTGCTGCGGGATTCCTGCCTTGGATTCCCATCACTCTGCACTCACCGAAACATCCTCACTGGGCGATCTCTGCGGCGGGGGCTTTCTGGCTGGTGGGGTCAAGTCTGAGGTTCGGTGAAATCCCTGGATTTCAGACTTGATGATAAGAGGTTTCTCGCTCAGCGGTGACGCCGCGCTGCTTGCCTCGCTGATTCACCGGCACTCAGTGATCTGAATCAGCCGGCTTTTTTCCACGTGGGCTGCACCAGGAGGGCCATTGCATTGCCAGCCTCTATTTCCTTCATAATAAAAGGAAAAACTACAATTCTGGCTGAGAGAACCCACCTGAAGACCAAATTCCAAATTCTCATTTGCTGCTCTAAAAAATTCTCTCTTTCCAGCTTTAAAGCTGAAGGATTTGGATAGTTTCATCACCTTAAAACAGCAGAAAAACTCCTGTAAATTGGTACTAGCCTGCACTTATGCCAGAAGAACCTATCTGGAGAAACCTTAAAAGTACTCAATAGATCAATAAAAGCATTTGGTGCAGCCTGCTGCGGGAAGGAGCCGAGTGTCCCTTGTTGTGTCCCCCGTGTCTGAACTGTTTCTTGGCTCCACAGTTCGGCGATTCCCAGCAGCTGCGGCTGGTCCGTATCCTGCGGAGCACGGTCATGGTTCGTGTCGGTGGAGGATGGATGGCCCTGGATGAATTTTTAGTGAAGAATGATCCTTGCAGAGGTAAGGCAGTTCCTGGGGTTTATACAGCTGGGGTCTTCTCGCCCAGTAAGGGGAGTTTGAGAACTTGTCTGCTGTGACTGTGAATGGCCAGATGTACCAGAGGAGCGGGTCTGGGTTATCCAAGTAACAGGCGGGAGCTGGAGAAAAGGGATCCAAAGCAAACCGTAGAACTTAAAATCACGAGATTTGGCGATACTGCAGCAAATCTCGCAGCGTTTAGCCAGGTGTCTTGGGAGGAGAAGAAGGAAGGGTTGTCTTTCTTGTTTTTAAGACCCCAGCGAGCGGAGCTGCGTTGCCATGCTGGGGGTCTCAGCTTCCCTTTGAAGCGGTCGGTGCGTACGTGTGGCTCTGTGGCTGATGGAGTAAACATCATAAAGGTGGCCTGAAAGCATTCAAAAGGTTCAAAGCCAGGAGATGGTAAAATCCTGGTCTGAGACACTCTGGGGAGGAGATGCTCTGGCCCAGGATCTGTGAACCCGTGGTACTGCCACGCTGGGCTGTGGCCACGGGGCACTGCCGGTCCAGGCTGGTCCTAGTGAATGAGGAGACGTTTCTCCTGTGACTTTGAACTACTTGATTTTTCTCTGATGCATTTCTAATACAAGTTTTCTCAGTTCATTTGTTGTCTTTAGAGCAGCGGCATAAGGAACTAATTTGGAAACCCTGAGCTGTGCAGGACTGTGCAACTTAAATACCTGTTTGCAGCGAGAGCTGCTGACGGTGCCGGCTCTTCCCCTAGTGCCTTAAAATCACCTTTCTTCCCCCAGCTCTGCCCGTGAGGGTGGAAACGTGGCCCTTCTTTTTTCTGGATTGCCACGTGCCAGATTTGAGTTGTGAAAGGGCTGCATTTAGGCATCGTCGTCCATGGGGCTGTTCAGGGCTGGGCTGGATTTCTTTAGGGGGTTTTGAGCACCGCGTCCTGCAGTAAGCGTGTCGATAACAACCCCATGCAGCGCTACAGGCTTGGGGAAGAGTGGCTGGAAAGCTGCCTGGCGGAAAAGGACCGGGGGGTGTTGGTCGACAGCCGGCTGAACATGAGCCGGCAGTGTGCCCAGGCGGCCAAGAAGGCCAACGGCATCCTGGCCTGTATCAGAAATAGTGTGGCCAGCAGGAGC